AGACAAGAGCGTGGATATTCCTCCGGAATCGTACAAGATTTGTTCACCACCGTTCACATGGCTGCGCTATTTTTCACCGAGAAATCGCGAAAAACTTCGCTTGAAATATCGGCTTCCTCCACGCTCGACCCACATTCGAATCACGCGCCCGATCGCAAAAATTTTTCCACGTTCGGAAGAAGTTTTTTGCCGCTGCGGATTCGAGAGATACGTTAATTAAAAACAGGAATTGTAGAATGCAACGCGTGAATTTTTTCTTTTGCCTTTTAAGAAACGATGGAAAGGAAGGATGGAGAGGTAAAAGAAAAACGCAGAGTACCACGGAAATTGAAATGATTTTAACCGCCTCCGTTCCACGGAATTACATTTACTCGTGACCGAGTCTACGATATCTCGATATTTCTGAGGTGAACTCGCAATTTTTGAAGAAAAAACACCACCTCGATGATATTGATTTCGTTTCGATCCCACGAAATTGATAACATCTTGCCGTGATTCCATTATATCCAAATCAAAGATATTTTAAAGATTTCTCGTAACGTTTTTTCCTTCCCGTAAACCGACGAATATAATCTCTTCGATTTATTAACGCCGATACATTCGCAGATTTTGTCGACGTAAGGGGAAAAATTGTACGAGTGTGTGATATAAATTTTTATATCAAGTGTTACGATCGCTCGGATAAGCAGATTGTTTCGATCGTAAATTAACATGGGACGGAAACGGCATATCCGGTACATAGATGTAAAGTTAATTCCCGATTACACGGTTCGACAGATTCCAAGTCTATAAATCCGTGCATCGATGGACGAAGCGTTACTTATTTAAGATCCCTGCCATCCTCTCTGTTTAATTCATTTCCCTCGACGAAAGTTGCCTCGAACGGTGCAACGAACTTGAAAATAATCCGAAAGAGCGGAAAATTGAAACGGCAATAAAATTTCGCTTTCAACAAGTAGTCGCGGGGAGGAAAAAGCGGAGATCGGATAAATCTGAGAAGGTTCATCTTTAGAAACGCTTTAAACGGATAACGCGAGCGAAAAAAAGATTGGCGAGAGGGTAAATCTTTCAGGGACAACTATGCAAATGGCGTTCAGAAACAGGATTTTCCATCGCACCCGTTTCGGGATATTCGGGAAGAATATCGTTTTACCAATGTTGGGCAACAAGCTATCGCTATCTTTCTCGCGGTAGGTGATTCTAAAACGAGATCGCCTCCGAAAAACCACGAGATTTACGTTCTTCGTGGTTTCTCGTTACTTCCTGTTCCCCCTCTCTTTCTCTCTCGCGCCCGCTCATCCTCCGATTCTCCACCCTATTCTTCTTTCCTCGTCCTTTCTTCCTCCAAAGTGAATATCTATGAAAGATGTAAATAACGAGGGGGATAATTTTCTCCCGAGATCCGAGCCACTCTTGTTTACAACGCTCCCTTCTTCCCCTGGGTACGTTTCCTCGTTCGTTCTTATTCGTGCAACGCATTGTTTCCACTTCCTGCCTACGCCGTCGAGACACGATTGGCGATTATCGCGTGAGCAAAAATTAGATTCGATTGATTACAATCTCGAAGGAAAGATGGCGAGAAATACGTTCATTCGAAAGGAAATTAATACGAGAACTGGCAAAATACATCGACCGATCGAAAAAACCTACGAATCCGTTTTCTTATTTTCGAATAATGGAGTAAAGTAAAAATCTATTCTGTCGAACGATACCATCGTGACAGAAGAGTTCGGGGGGATTTCCCGTTTGAAGAAGGTAACGCAACGTCGAAATTAGAAGAAGAAAGGGGACACGTTAGCTTTACAGAGATGCATTTTTTCATCGGGCCGATAGACGCGGGAAAGGGAGCAACTGGCAAGTTTCACGATGCGCGGCGCGATTCCCGAGGAAATGTCGAATTTTTCGAAGGCACGAAATCACTTTAGCGAAATAGGTGTACGGAATCGTCTTCACCGGATTACCAGAAACCTCTCCGCCTCCTCTTTTGCCGCCGCTCAGCCCACCCTTCGGGCGCCGCTCCCTCTCACCCGCTTCTTCTTCGAAACCGCCTTTTACCATCCCGAGAAGAACATTCCAAAGAGGGAAGGAGGGAGGGAGGGAGGGAGGAACCCTCTGCCGCTCTCCTTTTACGCCCGCTCGACTCGCCGCAACTCCGCTCGGCCGTGAACCAACCCTTCCTACTCATCCTTGCCAAACGAGTCGGCGATGAATCTCAAAGTTAACAACTTTTTCGAACGAAGCGAGAGGAGGTTGATCCATCAGAGGGCGGACGAGAGGAGGACGCAAGAGTGGTAAACACGAAAGAAGAAGGAGAGAAGAAGATAGAGGCGGCGCAACACGACGACCAGGTGGATAATGACCAGCCGATTCCGAAGAGAGAGAAAAGATTCCTCTTCCGCGGAAGAAAGGACGGAAGATTGGAGGCGAGCGAGTTCGAGAGAAAGGGAAGAGGAGTTCTCGCATCGATTCGCTTTCTCTTCGCGTCCCACGATCTATTTCGTTGCTCTCCAAGAGATTGCCGTTGCGTCTGCATTACTCGAGCCCTCGCTCGTGTTATCAGGGCCTTTGGCCCGGAGGGTTATGTACCCTGGCCGTTCGCTTCGCCACGCCGCCCTCATTCGTACGTGTGCACGCGTCCGTGGGTGGCGCGTCCGTGTGTGGGACGCGCGATTGTGTGGATGGGGAGGGGGTGGAGGGGACGGGGAGGGGCGTGTCTGCGGGTGCATTACGCTGATTGCTGGTCGCGGCCTCTCCGGAGAACGTAGAGTCACGAAGGCAGGAGGGTGGAAGGAGGAAGGTGGCGGCGTGTGCGGCCGTCACGGGTCGAACGAAGACAGAGCCGGATCCCGTGAACCGGCGAGGAGGAAGAAAAGGGAATAAGGGCCCTCTTCCACGGTTAAGTAAGTGAACGCTCGTACGAGCGCCCGGATTTTAATCCTTTAAATGAATGACGCCGGTGACGCTCGCTCGCCCTCCCCACTTCTCCTCGCTCCTATCTTTCCGACTATCCGACACCGAGCCACATCGAGTTTACATTCCTGTTGCGACACCGTTTCGCGCTCCTTGTCACGAGCGTCTCGAGACGCGCGCTTTAAAAATCGGATGTACTCTTTTCCGCAAGGATATCGTCGCTAGATAACAAACGAGAACGTACGTTAATTGGAATAATATTCGATTCAGAATAATCTCGAGTTGATTTTAAAAATCTCCACGAATTTGAATTTCTCTCTCTCTAGTATTTTCAATCCTTTTCCTATTTCAACTGCAATTATTTTTAACGCTCGTATCGAATAGATATACTTTTTCATACCGATGAAATTTTCTCCTTTTTAACAAACTGAAATTGGAATTAGCCGAGCATGATAACGATAACGATTCATTTACGAACTTTCGGCATAGATAATTTTCAGAGTTGTGGTGGCCGAAAATTTAAAATTCGTTAAAATTTTATATTTTCGCTAATTGTTTAAATTAATTCGAGTTTTAATTAGAAACACGTATACACACCTGTACATCGCGTAAAATAAAACTATACCAAAGCTGACAAATGTAGAACGCGTCGTCTATGGGATGGAAAAGTTCCAAGTCGAACGTGCCACGTCGTAGACTCCCGTGAAAAATCGACGGACAAGACGCTAATATCCGCGTAATTGCGTACGCGTCGCTTCGTCTCGCGACGGTAAACGTCAACGCGCTGGCAACTCATTATTCTTCTTGCCCCGAGGGCGACGCGCCGCCTTGTCCCATCTACGCCCGAATAATCATCACACGGAGGGTGATGATTCCCCCATTGTGTTATCGTGTCTGCCGTTCGATGATAAATGCCGTGCACTTTCTCGGTAACCGTCCTGTTCATTATTAATACATCCCGGATTGACAAAAGTTTCGTTTCGCCATTTTTAGAGAGAAACGTTGGTTAAACGTGGCTTGACACGTTCTATCGAGAACGAGATAATTATAAAAAGAAAAAAAAAGAAAAGGAAGACGATTAACATTTTGTTCATCGAACGGTTCCAAAGCGTTGAGATGGACGCAGCATTCTCGAGAAACGAAAATTATTTACACGAAAACGAGGCGACGAAAGTGGGAAGGGAAGAAGGGAGAGGGGAAAAGAAGGAATTCCCGAGAGAAGAGCAAGCTGGCGTTAATTCGAGAAGGATTTTCATGGGGCGGCTGGTCGAGCAGGGATTACGAAAACTCGTTAACCGGCTAATAGCCTTAAATGACGAACGACGAGATTTTTCTGGGCAACAGGATAGAGGAGAAGAAGGATTGTTGGAGCGATCATCCAGTTTCCGCACGGTGTACACACGAGGTTGCCTTCCAAGGAGCAGCGGATAACGGAAGCGGGAACGTGCGAGGACGGGCTTTTAAAATAGTATGGGGGGAGGGAAAGGGAATAGATTATAGGGATACCTCCGGATAGGGAATCGATCCTTGAATTACGGGCACATTATGACTGCGAAACTTGCTAAGGCCGCACTTTCCTACCTTCCCGGCAGCGAATTAATCTAACGCGAAAGAAGAGAAGAGCCTCGAAGCCGGAAGCCGATGATTCATTTCGGATGGAACGCGCTTAGAGGCCGAGATGGAGAAATGAAGGGGTTGGGAAGGAGAGAGGGAGAGAGAGGGAAGTGAAAGCTGTGGCGGGGCTTGAGAGGATTCCGGTAACGAGGAACGATCGAAGTCCCTTCGTTCGTCGATTAAACGATCGCGGCAAAACGCTGACATACACCGTGGCTGCCATTGTCCACGGAATCTGTTGGTGCCACCACTCTCTGTCCTCGATTTACGCTTTGCCCCCGTTTCGCTTTCTCAAAGCCCGCCTCGTGTTCGATTCACGATAATGATCCCCCCCTCCGTCCAACGACTCACGAAACGTAGAGTTGCCTCTACGTTTATTTCATTGCCCGACATTATATTACCGTTCGAATTTCCCTCCCCCCTCCTCTCCCCGGGATAACGACTTCGCCAATTGACTTCGCGACGAATCGTTTCAGCCGATCGGGATGCACTTGAAGAAATACGAGTGGGTAGGACGGCCAGACATCGGCGACTGTTCCTTGTGGGTGAGATCGGCCACTTTAGAGTTCGACGACGGTCTATGGCAGTGCCAGGTGACAGCCAGCGACTTCACCACGCAGGACGCGCTGGCATCCGAACCGGCCAGGCTCGTTGTCCGAGGTAAGGTTCAACCTTGAACTTGATAATATTCTCCGCGCCGATTCGAAATGATGAAAAGCGGCGTTAACAAACTAATCAACGCGTTAAACATGTTGAGGATGCAACCCATTTCTATTCGAGTGTGTATTGTCCGCCGGTGAAACCAGCCTGGTCATCAAATCCACGTTCGTCGCTTTTCATTGTCGTTATTCCCATTGTGACGAAATTAACGCGCTACCCGCGTGTCTAGGGACGAGGTATCGCGACAAGACAATAGGGAAGTTACGAAACTGGGCCGATGCGGGATATATATCCCGCTGACGATCAAAACGGTATTATTTCTCCAACAGCGGTTACGACCTTATAAGAAAACTCATTTTACGGGACGCGATGTTCGCGTTATACCGTTAAGCTCCTAGTTTAACGATTGATCCATTTTCTACTTTCGCGTTCAAATATTGGATTGGAAGAGATCGAAAATTTTTATAGATACTTCTAGACAGGAGTCTAGACATTGGGAAAAATTGGTAAAATTATCATAAACACGCGTGATAATATCGCAAATATCGCAACTTTTATGATTTTTAGGTATATAAAAAGCCCGGAAGAAGAAGTTAACAATTTTGTCGTGAAAATCTATTAGAGGAAAATATCCGCTCTCATCATTTTTTTGATTCATCCCGAGATATAAAGTATGCTTAAAGTATCGTAATTTAATACAGCTTAATACAGCGTACAGATTATCAGAACTGACCGTCTACGCCTCGGTGATCTACATTTTTTTTTGGAAGTGTCCGTTCTTCTGCGAATCGCTTCCAAGAATTGCGTTTGCGTCTGGAGTTTGGGGATAAATCGTAAAGTGACGTAAAGTGCGAACGAGAACCCGAGAACAAGAGAAACAAAGGGACAAAGATAAACGATTAAAAATTATTCCTCTCTTCTTTACACGATTTCAATGGAAGAGTTTAATCGAATTTCGAGATAATTTATGGACGGATATGTTTTCTCGGTAACGGTGAGTTGGAAACTTTAAATAAGATTTAAAAAGCTTAGGTTAAAATAAGTTGGATCGTGGAAAGCGAAAATCGTGTCGCGGACGATCGATAGATCCGACAAAGGTAATCAGAGAGGAGGAAGGCGGTTAAATGATAACGTAATTATAACGAGCGACGTCCAGAGAAACGTTGGGCCGCGTGTCTCCGAATATCCAGCCGCGCGACGGCCAAATTAACCTCTGCTAATTTTCTCATTCCAGTCAGCCCTCAGCGACCGCAGATAGAGTACGCGGATCGTCTAATTCTACCCGGCAGCAACGTGACAGCCCGAGCAGGTGAGATCGCTGCGCTCACTTGCAGAGCGCGGTATGGGAATCCTTCGCCTCTAATTAAATGGTTCGTAATTGTTGCACCGTAGATTCCGTTACCACTTACTACGTAACATCCACCCGACGACTCCCTCCTCGCCTCGGCCTTTTTCTCCTCGAAAACTCCTCCAACAAACCACCGATCGATTTCTCACCACGATAAGAATAGGAGGAGAAGAAGAAAAAAAGATCATGACCATTTCGATCTTTGGATCTTCTTTGGATTCCGAACCACTCGTTCGAATTCGAGCATCGTGGCACGGATATCTCGAACAACGGAATCGCGCGTCGACGAATCGACCGAGACGAAAGAGGATCGGCAAAAAAGGTCAAGGCAGGAAATTGAAACGGAGTAGCTAGCTACCCAGGAAAGGAACCGTGTAATAACATTGGTTTCCAAGGGAGAGGTTTGAATGCTTTTAGATTGCGCCCGTTTTCCAACCTCGTTCGTGCCCGCGTTCAATCATCGGCCGGAGAGTAACGCTGCTCCTTTTCGGGATTGATTCGATTAGCTCCCCAGACTTGATTTCGCCTCGCGGATCTAGGGACAACTTAATTCCACTCGTGTCTTTCACGCCACGAGCTCTCAGTCGTTCTCTCTTGTAATCGGAACGATTACCACCGTAATTGCACCGAGGGGTTTCGCAAGGGGTTCGCGGTGCAATAAGAGTCGCGAGTCGGAAGAAACGCTTGAAAAAGGATCGAATCTAATTTTTAAATTGAATTTCTTCCGGAGTCGCGGAGGCCAAGTCACTTCGTCGCAATCGTAAAAACAAATTGGAGAGCGTTTTTTCCCTCCGCTCCGCTGCCTCTATTATTTCAAAACAGAGGAATCGCGGCGCTCTCCGTTTGTTCGAGTTAAGTTTTCCCCGCGCGAACATCCCGACCCGTAATGCACCCTGTGGATCTTAGCGTTGCGACGGTGCTCGGTCGGTCGCTCGCCCATGAATAATCATGATCCATTCCAGCCGGTATCTAGACGAAGTTAAGAGGCTATCGGGGTTCGCTTGCACCCCAGAGGCGTAGAAACAACAGGAAGCGCGGGATCGAACGAAACCGAACCGGCTTCGACCGAGCGCGAAACCGAGAAACGTTGATCGAGTTGCGAGAGACGAATCACGACCAGGGAACGGTGCAAGTTCATCGTTAGTTCGAAACTTGGATCCAATGACGCGACAGGTTTTCCGCTACTGTCCCTCCTTGTCCGTGCAAATCAGTCTAATTGATATCGGGGATGCTCGAAACGCCAAGTATGCGCTATCGATCATCGCTAAGCCTGCATTTATTTATATTATTTATTACCGTTACTTTTTTGTAGTATTCATTAATTTCTTTCTTTCGAGATGTCGATAGGATCGGTATAAAAATTTATCAAAGAAACAAACACTCTTTCTCTTTAATTTACCGGTGCTTGTAATTTACGTGTACTTTATTTGTAAATGATACTCATCGATCGAAACGAATAGTTGTCGTAGCTTTGTTCGCGAGAAAGAACGACTTTGAAAAGCAATCGAACGTTAAGCCCCGCGTTCATAATCCTCTGTCACGTTTAAAAAAAAAAAAAAAGGAAAAAAAGCAATATAATTTATAAGCGGAAGTATTATTCTTTCCGCGAGGAATATTTAAATGGTTTTGCGCAAGAGAAGAGAAACGACAGCGAGCGATCAAAGAAAACGAGACTAATGTAACGAGATGAAGCTTACAACGTTCTTCTTTAACCGGAAGAATTGATTGCACTCGTTTCTCTTATCTTGCATGCAAATCCGCGGTAACATATACGCATCCCTCCCCCCGTTTCTCCGCCATTTCGAGCATCCCCTTTCCTTGGCCGGAAATTTCACTCCATTTTCTGCGCGATGGATACGTTTCCCTACGGTTATTTATCCAAGTAACCACGACACGCCGCGTGTTATCACCGCGATAAGTAATCCCGGTTAAGTAGAATCAATCGGTTCCCAAAGACGCGTCTAAATTGCCGCGTCAATGGAAAACATATGGCGATCATCGAGTTTCTCCACCCCCTTCATCCTTCTTCTCCAACGCAGGAGACCCAGGAGAAAATCTATTCCACCATGAGTGAGAATGAAATGATGAAATGTTCAGAGCACTGAACAGAAGCACTGAGGAGGTTGCTCGGAAATTGCAGAATGACGAGCGTTTCAATTTTTGATTTCGTAGAGAAGGAAAGTATGGAGGGATAACGAGAGGAGAGACGGAACAGAGTTGAAGGAGAAAAAGGTGGGGGCGAGGAGGAAGGGTTGTTGGTTCGGTGTGTCCGTGTGATTTCACTGTTCCGCGCAGAATTGTCACGAAGCAAGCATTGGAAATGCAAATTTTCGGGTGAAATGCTCGCAGGTACGTGGGTGAGACCGAAGTGAGGACTTTGAGGCCACAGGTGAATTCAACGGAGATAGATAATCCTCGTACCTGGGCGACCTACAGTGTCTGCGAGATCATGGCGGACAGATCGCGCTATGGACAGCCGATTCGATGCGTGGCCATTCATCCGGCCTATGACAACCCGACTATGTCGTCGAGCACGGAAGTCAGGTTCGATGTTAGATGTGAGTATATACCTTTTGTTTTTCCTTTTACTTCGATTTACTTAAGATAATTGATCGATTCGATCGATTCTTATCTGTATACTATCAAAGATCTGGGATGTTTGTTTCGAGTTCGTTGAAGATATTTTTGATGTTTTTTTCTTTTTTCTTCTTCCGAAAAGATTTACAATAGTATCGATATTCTTAAAATATCCTCCGATGTTATACTTTTCATTCGTTACGATGTCGAAAAATAAAAAAAGAAGAAAAAATGAAAACTTTCGTGCATGCGAAATTCTAAAAAATTGAACGCAAATTTTGTTTTATTTATCAAGAGTAAGAAAATAATCATACCGCTTTGATCTTTTTTTCGTTCCACCCTAATAAATATTCAAAAATTCCGTACGCTTGACCCGAGCGTAACAATTTTAGCTGTCGCTTGCAGCCGATATTGAAAACAAATATTATTCCTTCTCCCCCCCCCGGTTGTCTTATTTTAACACTGGTCAATCCGCTTGTCCGAGTGGGACGGATTAAAATCAGGGAGGGAAATTAATTCCGGGAACTAATTTAACAAACGATATCGAGTTACACCGATGTCGCAACTTAACCGCTTTAGCATAAACGGGATTTAGGTCCGTCGTAAAGGATACTCTTATTACAAAGTTGTTCCATAACGTTCAGGTCATTCTCGTTACTAACGCGGATTAGTAGGCAAGATTAATATTTAAGAATAATCACCGTTATCCTCGTCCAAGATGGAGGGAAGGGAGGATAACTCGAGGATCGACTCGAGCCAACTTTCCTCCCAACTTTTTTAACGAGATCTCCACCGTTGGAAACAATTTTTTCGCGATGAAGGGAAATCACGTCGGTCGGAAGACGGGCAAGTAATTTCGCGAGATTCGCGAGAGTTCGATCGCGGCGCGATGAATTTGTTTGGATCGAACTCGGGACCTAAAACGGGGGTGAAATTAAAATTCTGTCGGAGTATTCGTGAATAACGGACGGAAACAGGGGAAAAATGGTCCTTTTTAGTCGCGTGATGGAACATTTCCTTTTCCTATATTCTTCAATATCCTGAATTCTGACTGTCTGTATATACATATATATTAATAAATTGCGAATATCAATAGTAATTTTATTACGTGGATTTAATTATGTACAATGTATGTATAATATTATGTAAAAGTTTCTTTTTTTTTTTTTGACAAATTTTTACAAGACGTCGTGTAATATATCGGTTCAATATCATATTGGATCATCTTCTGTTCACATAAATATAAATATTCTCACCTTTTAATATCGTAACATATTCGTTTATGTCATTTATGGAAAATATATACTATAAATATTCGCAATTTATTATTTATTATTATTAAAGTCCTGCGAATGAGATAATACGCACATCTCATTTTGAAAATTAAGCTCAGTCTATTATTTCCTTTAATTTATCGTATTTCGTATATTATTATAATATTATTATATTGTATATTACTAAGTAATCTCAATGCAAGTAATATTATTAACAAAAAAAAAAAGACGAACAATTGAATTTTCGTACGAATTTACACGCGAAAAGGATGATGGGAATTTCGGTGGAGACGATATTTGGTTAGCACGTTCGAGAGCGAAATGGTCATTTGACCCAGCGCGAAAGAACATGGAGCAACGAATAAATCGGTGTTAACGAGAGGTGGACAGAAAGGGTGCGTGTGCATCAGGCTGACCTCAACCCCTACCAAAGCAAGAATCCCCACCAAGGCTACGATTTAACCTCACACATACCGGTGACCGCGGAACCCTCATCAATCTCCCTCAAAACGCGGCACCCTGACGTCCTGCTTTTCGACCTTATCGACAATTCGAGCTCTGCTGCATCGTCCGACAATTTTGAATCGCTTTTTACGAAACAACAATGACTAATGGCCAGCGGATCGATTCGACCGGATTAAACGATATCTCGACCACTCTTTTTGTGAAAAATTGAAAACTGAATTTACTGAAAATCCAAAATATCACTCTCGTACGAAAGACGAGCGGATATAAACGGGATTAAAATAGATATTATGATTTTTTTTTTCAATAATCTAAAAATTATTTCCATCGATTATTAACTATTTAGATAGTTCTTTTTTTTTTATTTTTTGCTATCAAATTCTCTAATCTGTCTATTCTCTAATCAAATCAATCCTATACGATAAAATTCCATTTCGATCTCATCCACGATACCCGAGTAAACGAACTCTACCTAAACTCTTGCGATTTGAATTGACACTGCGTTATTCCGATTATAATACAAACATCCCTGCATATGAGGACCTCCATTATATGAACTTTGTATCCCCAATTATACAATATTTATCGGGTTATATATTATAAATTTCTTTCCATTATTAATCGATAATAAATAAATCAATGATAATAGAATAATCGAGGTGTTACGTATCAACGGGCCGGGCGGTCATCGATATTCTCGACCGCTCCTCAAATTGCAACTGCGTGCAAATATAAATAGTCTCACCCTCCTCTTTATCTCGATACCGAATCTGTAATTCAACCACGACCGAGCTACACCTCCCCCCGTCCCCCGCGTAATCCGATTTCGAATCGATCGCGCGCGTCGTTTCGCCGCCCCCTCCCCACGGCGGAACCGAAATTTTTCTTTTATTAATCGCTTCCGCCCCGATCCCCTCACAGCCCTCCTCTAAACTCACCAACCACGGCAAGTAATTCGTTCCAGGTGAAATCGAGTTCCAAGTTGGGAGTTCCCATCCGCGATTCCTTCGGGGATCGAGGGGTTGGTGGAGACGCGGTTTACAAGTATTACCGGAAATGGAGACACGCGGGGTGGGTTGGCTTGTCGCGTATATTGATTAGGGGCATTAGCCCAGGGCCGGGACTTTTCAAGGCAAATTGAAAAGTTCGCCTCAAAGCGCGGATATATCCCTTCGATCGAAACGCCCACGGGAATCTCGAATCATCCCATCGTTTCGCCATCCTCCCCTCCCCCCAACCAGTTCGATCCAACCACCGTTTACTTTGCCGCGACGACAGCTTGCACTCCGTTGATGCACTTTTCAACGACCGATGCGAAAGGGATCGGACCCTCCATTTTTCACAACGCTTTTTCGTGACTATGGAACTACGCCCGATTCCATAAATCGCAGTGGTGGAACTTCATTTGTACGAATGAAATTTCACCAATTTTAATAGAGGCTTTATCGGCCGAGAGAAAGTTCGAATGATCGAAGGAGAAGCGAGGAATCGATTCGGATTCGATAAGAAAAGAAGTTTTGAACATCGTTTCAATGTGTATTTAATTGAACGAATTGATCGATTAAGTGGATCATACGAGAATTAGATGGATCTATATTGTACGAACGATCTGGTTACAGATGAACTATACGTATTTGTTTGTCCGCCAACGAGTTCGTATAAATGGAATTTTATCATTTTTTCAGGATATCGATAAATAAACGTTATGATTGTAAATATAATATTAATATTTAACTAACTATTGTTTGTATTGTAAAGAAATACTATATATATTCAATTCTTTCTGAACATCGATAACAATGAATATTATTGGGGAAAAAAAAGAACAATTCACGCATTGTTACATTAAAAAAAAAAGGATATAGATCAGTGATAAATAATATTAATCAATTTTAAATTTTATAAGATTGTGGAAAAATTTCAAAAATTTTTATCATTAATACGTCAAATAATTATTTATACTTTTAACAAAGTGCCTGATGATTTATGGATATAGGACTGTGCATTCCCTTTTTCCTTTCTTTTTTTAGAAAATTTTTTTACGCGAATCAATCGATTCTCGAAGCACGAACAACTAATAAATATCGCGCGTGTAGCTGAAATACGCGTAACGAAAACTCTCTCGCGTTACATCCCGTTTGGATCAGAAATTCCACTTTGAGAGAAGGGATGATGGAAAAGTTATGTCTTTCCAAGCGAGCGAGGATAAATAGACGGGGGCGTCCAAGACGAGGGAATTTTGTACACGCGACGCGACGGTTTGCGCAGTTCGTGGAAGGTGCAGCTGGCGCGCGAGAGTCCAACGGTTATTCGGTGAACCGTATTTCTGCTAGTCGTTCTTTAGGTAAACTTCAAACGGGTGTGTTTTTATAGACGGTGGCGACGGTGGATCGAACAAAAGGAGAAAAGAGTCGAAACAAAGAGTGGAAAAAAAAAAAGCGGAAACGCGCCGAACGGCGGCCGGCTTTTGTGTCGCGAAACAGAAATTTCCCTTCCCAGACCTGTTTCAACCTGTTTTCCCTTCGAGAAAATTTTTCATCGACAGCCCTCTACCTCTAATTAACCCATCCCCTCCCCCCTCCCCCATCATCGCGCGGCAATTCGTTAATTAACCTTCATCCTCCCGGTGTATCGTCCCGGAAATAAGCTGTAACCGTTCTTCAACAGTTGAAAAATGCCAACGCGTTGGCAAATATTTAAATATCGGGGAGAGGTATGTGTTTACTGGTGAACCGGCGATAAAATAACAAAGTAAACGCAAATAACAAACATCAAAGTTTCTCTCATTTCCGGGATATATAACGTTCGATATATACGCAAGCCCAGAGCCAATTCGCGAGCGAAGCTAAAGCGTTTCCGATGTTTCTTTATTCTAACCTCGTGGCTCGAAAAGCGAATAATAAAAAAGAGTGGAGAGGGAAGGGAGGTGGAGGAGAGTGGGGAAAAAAGGAGGGAAAAAGAAAAAAATATATATATATATATATATATATATCCCGGAGGAACAAATATCGCGTCGCGATGTTTTGAATCGAAACGATTTGGTCGATACGGAAATTTTTACTGCTCGCGAATTTATCGCCCCTCCGCCGCCAGGGCTGGTCCCCTTGCGCGATAATGAATTTGTTTCGATCAACGTTGCGCTCGTTTGCTCGTAATTTACTGGTACCGATGCTGATCGAATATTCATGAAGCATTGTTCGAAAACGAATACCGGGGCTACAGAATTTATTGAAAACTCGAGGAGAGGCTGACGCGCGATTTATGCACCGGGCACGTAGTTTTCGAATGTACAGCTGACGGGCTGCTGTGTTTCCCCTGCAGTCTTCTGTAAACTTCAAAAAACGAGCTGCGGCGTATATCGGTAATGGCGTTGAAACCCGGGCCAGCCTGAATACCAAATTTTATTTTATTTTTTTTTCCTCCTCCCTCTCTTTCCCTCCCTCTCACGTTCGCGATCGATCGTTTCTCATCGTTGCTTTTCCTTCGCGTCGATCACGTTGATAATCAAATTCCCCCGAAATTACGGGGAAACGCAGGAACAATCGGCCTTGCAGTCGGCGATGATTGTTCGGCTTTGACCGATTCGAACTCTATTCGTAAAGGGGAGGACACAATATCGTTTCGATCAATCGTTCAAAATCAGTCATCAGTTTCACAAATTATCTCTCTTCTTCTTTTCTCTCTCTCTCTCTCTCTCGTTAAAAACAGATTTATAAGAGGATGAAATGGGAGAGCGCGAAAAGAGGAGGAAGAGAGAAGACGAAAAAAATAAAGGCGGAAGGAAATATAGCGGGGGGCACATGGTAGGCACGTATAGACAGCCTGCACAGTTGGATTCTCACCGATGGATCCGTGGGGGGATGGTAACGGAGTGAAAAGGGAGCGACAGTGACAGACCGCAGTTTCGAAGATGCCAATCACACGGCTAACGTTCGCGCTTGTGTCCGGCGATGTGGACGAAACGCGTGCGGAAATAGAGTTCGGCGGCGGTATAGGCGGAGTACGAAAACAGAAGGAAATAGGTCTTCGACCGTCGATCGAAACAGCTGCGGACCCCTTGCAAAGCAAACAAATAGGGATGACCGGTTTGACACACATGCAGAGGGAGACACCTATCGAATGCACACCCACGCGCGCAACCGACCGATGTCCTATAAAACGCAGGCAGCCGCGGTAAAAAGGGTAATAGAGGGGAAAGAGAAGGAGGGGGATGGAAAAAGGATTGGACACGGAGTGGGAAAGAGGGGGAGAGAGAGAGAGAGAGAGAGAGAGAGAGAATGCAAGTGAAATTGTGAATGGGTCAGCGAGTATTCGTTCGCGCGTATTTCGAAATCATTGTTACGTGAAATGAACAGCTGCGCGAGCTACCTACACACACGTACACATATTCCTCCTTTCTCTCTCTCATTCTACAGGAGGATTGGATTCGAGAGCGTCCGCTTTTTCATTTTTCACATCTTTCCTGGGACACGTATTCTACCTTCGCACCTGAAACATCTCTCTCCACTCTTGAGAAATTAATCCGCTAGCTTTTTACACAGATACGCTCATGCGTTATCATTCGATGCTCCTTCGTTCGAGATTACGTATCCCGCAACGAGTTCTCGCATCTTTGAAAATGAATTCCAAAGATTTTCAACGCGCCATCGATTTCGAATCGTGTTGCGCGTCGATCCAATTCGAAAATTCAAGTTTAAATTTGTATAACGTATTTGAGCCCTGATGCGTTAATCTATTCGGCTATTTTAAATCTTTCGATTCTTTTTTTTTTGAAAAGTATCCGTATACAATTGCGAAAGGATTTCGTTAGAAATAGGCAGAGCGTTCGTTACTCCAACGACAAAAGAAACAATTTAATCGTGGAATCGAGTTACACCGGCTAGCCGAGTTCTCGCGAGACGCAGGGCAAGAGACAGGGACGACGAGACGAGTTTTGTGTAGCCGATGTCTCTCCGGTTTAGCCGGTTTCCCTCTTTGCGCGAGTTGCGTAATCGCATTTCCAAGTCTGAATACAAGCTTGTTATTTTTGGCCCTCGGGAAATAGGTCGGGACTGAAATTATTAATTAATACAATTTGGATCCGTATTCCAGCATTAATTAACCGTCATTTGTGACGTCTCTCCGTGAGCGGCGCACAGTTTCATTGATTTAAATCAACGGGGGGGGAAAGAGGTCGTGGGTAACGTGGCAAGGGGCAAGGGAGTAATTGCATATTAACACGGTAAATTATTTTCCACGTCCAGTACTTTTAATCGAAAGCTTTTGTCGAAACAGGGTGGTTGGGTGAAAACAGGTTGGGAGGGTGTAGTAAAAAGGGAACGAGATCGTTCCTTCGGTTCCCGTATTCCTCGACCGGGCCTACCACCCCCATCCCCCGTCCACCGATCCTTCAACCGCGTAATTGCTTTCGCTGAAAAATACCACGTAACGCGTCGATTCGATGTACGTTAATAGAATACAGTGCTTGCCGACCGACTAGTTCGATAGACCGGGTTTATCGAAACACGATTCCATTCCCCGCTTCGAATCGGCTATTATTCCAACCCTCCGATTTCTCCACGAGATCTTTTATCTCATCGCATAGAGATAGATTACACATAAGAGAGTAAAACTTTCTCGACCAGTTATTTCTCGAACACCGTTTACTTGTAATTAGTAATACTGTTCACGTATAAAAAAAATAATCCTGGCATGAAGAAATCTCGACGTGCGTTTTATCTCTCGAATGTGCGTATCCGCGAACGTTTTTCGCTCGAACGAAGAGATATTTCGATCGATCGATCGATTCGCAAGTAAAAAAGAGGATGGAATGGGGGATAGAAGAAATGGATGAAAAAGAAAATTTTTCAAAGCTAGCACGATAACGATAACGCACACCTCGATTAAACGAAGAGACTGAAATCAGCCGGTGAACAATTCCATCTATTCTCCTCTCTTTCTCTCATCCCGTTGGGAAAACGACCGCAGGATTAACTGCGCGCAGGTGTAATTGAATTTTTCGCGAGCCGCGGCTAACTAATTATTTCTGACAAGGAATAATAACGAAACGACGGGGGAGGGGGGATGCCAGTTTCAACTTTGATTCATTATTTCGAGGTTTGTACGCCGGGTTGACGTGCCTCGCGTGCCATTGTTTTCCATTCCATTATCGGCCTTTCCGCGTGTTGCCTTCTCCCCTACAAACGGAACAGAAAAGAAGAGGGGAGGGAAAGCAGACAGGGAGAGGACATCTTTGTCCCGGATCGAATATCGGGTCGACGGGTAACCCAGTAGTCGTCGTGGCCTCTTTTCTCGATCGACGATCAGTTTTCTTTCGCCTCGATCCACGATCCACTTTTAATTACGCGCTCATTAACGAATGATCGAATCTGAAAACTTGCTACGTTTACTCTCGAAACCGGTGTGTTTATTTTTCCGTAACGTTCCGTAACGAACCGACGCGCTACGATTAAAGCGATTTCTCGTCTGCGATTTCAATTAAACCTCCCGCCGTCCGTTTGTCGAACCACGGTGCCTCCCGCCGCTTCACCTCGGTCGGATCTTTCTCCTTTTTTCCTTTTCCATCCGGAAAATTAATTTCTTCGCCTTGGGCCGCGATGAGAAGGTATCGAGATTAATCGGGTGTAATTAAAATTTCCCTTATTCGACGGGACTACGATCAGACGGTGAGAAGTGGAAAATGCGTTTCAGACGCGCCCGAGACGAGACTGGTCGGGGTGCCGACCGGCCAACTGGAAGAGGGTCGTGATCAACTCGAGATACGATGTCTAGCCGATGCGAATCCACCGGCCTCGATCCTCTGGAGGAGAACCAAGAGTCCGGGAGTGACGGAGGTGGCCAGTATCGGAGAAACGTTGCTATTCTCCCCGATCTATAGGAATCACGCAGCCGTCTATATCTGCGAAGCGGCCAACACCGAGGGTGAAAGCAGCCCAGTGTCCGTTCAAGTGTCCGTCAACTGTAAGTGTCAACGTCCCCGTTTCCCTCTATCCGCCATCATCCTATCGGATTCTAAAAGTATCCGCGATTAACCCTTTTTCCGTGTCAGAGAAAGAGGCTCGGTTACCGATCGGTTTTCGCGAGGCGGAAATAACCGGGTTTATTTGAAACCACTTTGCGAATAAAAATAACTCTCCACGAGACGGATCCTCTCTGTGCACGGTGTTCGGTTACGCCTCGATCCACAAGGGATGATCGAATCCCGAGACGAGAATCATCGAAGCGCCGCAAAGTGTTTACAAGTAGCTCGTCGGATAGTTTCGAAACGGTATTTGCGTTACAGCAGCTTAATATTTGCCAGGTTTCAAGCCGTTTTCGACAGTTTCTCCACTCCAAGCTACGAACTTATCCAACAGCTATTGCGGCCGAGAATCAGTAAAACGAAAACTCGTTAAACGACGCGATCGATGATCGTTTGATTCACGCGGGACGTTCGTTCACCGCGTTGACGAATCTTTGGGAAATCGAAAGCCTAAACCGACATCTAAATTACCTAATAATTTTTGTATTGCGAGAATTTTCCAAAACGAGAGTTCTAATAACGTTTGTGCGACGTTTATATCGAGGACGAGGTTTTCAATCGTTTTACACAAACTCGAAATAATTTAGAAATTTACTTACTTGCCCTCGAACACTTTACTAACTCTATTAACGACGAAATGCGTAGCGTAGGAATAAATTTTATATCCTAATGAAAGATTCACGAAACCTTGTGGCGTAAAGTGTCTCGTCCGTAAAATCGCATTAACAATCTCGTGATCGCGAGATATTTCACGTATGATAGCGTTAAAAAAGTTCAACGCGATGACGACAGTCAGGATTTAATTCGCGGGTGAGCAAAACTTTACGTTTGATCTCTGACACTGAGGAATCGATCGAGAATCGATAGAGAAGAATTAATTTTCACGCAGATCCGCCGACGATCAGCTCGGTCGGGCCAGATCGACTAACCACGGCGTTGTTATTTTCTGGAGCCTCGTTCGAGTGTAACGCCGACGCTATGCCACCGGCCGAGTACAGGTGATCTATTCATCGAATGCTTGCTGCGAGTTGCGCGTCTTTCTCCGTTCGAATTTTTTTTTTTTTCTTCCCTCCCCCGTTCAATCAATTTTTTGTTTTGTTTGTTAGTTGATTTTCACCTCCAATTTTATATCGCATCGCACGTAAACACAATTTCGCAGCGAAAAAGAATTTAGATCAGCGGTTCTTAAATTTAATAAATTCAAAGATTTCTCTCGCGTATCGTGTGTGTTTCGTCAGTACTTTCTACCTATTAATTTTCTTTTCTCCTTTTTAATTATGACGTAAATGAAAGATGCTTGGCCATAATGAGAGATTAACCTTTGTGGAACCGGGAAGCCAGAGAGAGAGGAATTTTGCTTTCGCGTTATATCTACAGGATCAGGTGTGGTTTTCACCTATAGCTCGGGTACGTGGGTGCGCTACTACCCAAAGGACTTACAGAGAAGTCCCCCCTGCGGAAATATCAACGTTAATAAAAATATATGAAACGTCTGTACACTAGCAAACACAGCATACAACAATATTCGATCAAAATGCGAATCTCTTCCATCTGTTACCCTCCTCCGAAGTTTAATAATGAATATTTTTGTTGCATCGTGAACGAAATTTTAACGCGAGTGAAATTATAAAAAGAAGCATTTATAGACTCCAAAAATAACGAATCTTATTTACAATTTAAGAACCGCTAATTTGGATTATACAAATATCATATGGAAGGTGTAATTGCGTAATTTATCATTATATTTCTTTTGTAAATATCTGCTTATTATATATAATTTTCGCCTGTTTACGTACTTGTTGCTTCTTTACGTTTCCCCAAACACGTTATCCGTATTTATGAACATTTTGGTTCGCACGGTTAGCATGGCACACAATGGTGAACGTCGTTTCGTTCATCGTCGTAGTTACGAAGTAACAATGACCGAACTGAGATGCGACAATAATTTTTTCCAATTTTGAAAATCAGGTGGGCTCAAATCTTCACCGATGGCCGGATGCCATTGGAATGCGGTACAGGGCAACGATTGATCCTGACGAACGTGACGTACGAGCAACAGGGTCAATATATATGTCTCGCCTCGAACAAGATCAATGGGAACGTCAGGGAAGTTAAAAGTGATCCTGTATCGTTGCAAGTGGTCGGCGCGCCGAGGGTAAGAAGGCCCATACATCGAATCAATTTGATTCAATTTTTTCCCGATCTTCTTCGAATCGCAATCGCCTTTCTTAAAATTCTAATAAATATCCTTCCCTCATCTTATAAAAAAAATGAAATAAATCGTTCTCGAGAGACGGAAAATCTTTTTTTTTTTTCTTTGAACAGCAACTCATACATTGAGAGCCACTCAATTTTTTATTTAATTTTTACGCGTGTTCGAAAAGATGAAATCAAATATATCATTGCACGGATTATTAATCAGAAAAATTCAGTTGACACGCAAATCGAATCGAACGCGACGACGATGATGATCGAGTTAAAATTTAATCGATCGAAATGTAGGGTCGAGAAGGAATAAACATCGGGGTTATCTGGTTTTTACACGTTGTAATTATGTATTATCGATTCGTTGCTTTTATCGCGAAATCAATGCACAATCGGAAAACAAACAATTTCTACCTGCAATTAATTAACAAAATTATGTTTGTTCGCTCTGCGTACGCGTTCCGTTCTGTCGATCTGTTGACGCACACACCCGGAATATAACTCTACCATCCCCTACCGTGACATATTTAAATACGAAATGAGAAATTCATATTTATACCGAGCTGTGTATGTGTACGAGGTGGTTGAAAAACTACGCGTACGCGCGTGCGTACGTATATACCGAGTAAAACGTCATTTTCACGACACACTCGTCGCTTGATTGCAGTTACACCGGTCCCATTTGCCGCCTACGTTTCGTGGCCCATGATCCGTGCACCACTTGTGGTTCCTGTATATTGCCGCGAAATCGACGCGATATATTTGACTCTTTCACGGAAACATTAATTTTAAAACGTTCGTAACAAAAACTGCCGTTTTTTAAAAAAGGAAAAAAGAAAAAATGGGCGAGAGGTAAAAAAAAGAATTATCGAACAGTATTAACACACTCTTTTGGAACTCGCGCATTTTCATTTATCGCGTTGTTCCATTGTTCCCGATAAAATCGACATCAAAAATTTTCACCGATTGGACCGAGTTAGTTTCGAAAAAAATGTAGAGGGTATTTGTAATGTGAAAATTTGATTAAGAACAGAAACATGTTACGAGAGAAAAATAAGGGTCGAATAAGATTGGAAAAAAAGTTGGTTAACCTGTGTCGCAGGTGGTGAAACCGGCTATCACGGAGAAGTTTGTCGTGGCAACGACCGAAGGGAGCCCGGCGAAATTAGAGATCAGACTGTGTTCCGACCCGAAGCCCCGGCTCGTGGCTTGGGAATGGGGCAGCACCAGACTCCACGCCGGTTAGACTGCTTCCTAGCTTCTACCGCCAAAAGTATTCGAGTCTTTGGTTTGCTCTTTCAGTTTTTTTATGTACGTCTCTTCTCACTAATTGGCACTCCTTATTACCGAAAAGTGGTATACTCGCGATTAATTAATTCGAGCATCCCTTCAGCCCCAACTTTCCCCCTTTAATTATCAACCTTTTTCTCGCGTCCTTCTCGAATCGGAGAACCCCAACTTTCACGACGACGAGCCTTCGATCTTCGAGCCACTATCGACTGCCTCTCGATTCTCAACACTTTATCTTAGCCCTTTCCATGCGAATTTAGTTCGCACCTTATCGGATTCGCGCAGAATGAATTTCTATTTTTTAAATTTTCCGTTTTCCCCTCTTTCTCTTTTTTTCTTTTTTCTCTTTTTTTTTTTTTTTTTCGTTCGTTTATTTCCACAGAATCGCTCGTTTCTACGATCGTTTCGACGATTTTAAGTTGATTTACGATATTACAACACGCTGCGAAGAATCACCATCGGGTCTAATTATCGGGCAAATGTTCACAGGTGAAGTACTGGAATCACGGTATCGAGCGTTGGATCTAGAGCCGTTAGCGGTCGAGGATTGTTATATAGCCGTTTTAGAACTGACTAGCACGGTGAAGGAGGATCAAAGACTGTATCACGTAATCGTGGAAAACGATCGTGGGAGCGATCGTCGAGCCCTGATGTTGAGAGTCGACGAACCAGGCCAGGTAATTAAAACGATATTCGTCGCAAAACAAGGACTCGTCCAACCAATGAATTTCGAGTAAACATTCTCTTGTGTTTTTTTTCTCTTCTCTCGCGAGAACAAGTGGACTAATTAAATAATTGAACAGTGTCTGCTGGTATTTAAATTAAAACGGTTGAAAGCATATATATCCCGATGCACGCGTATATATATATATATATCGCGTGCACGTTCCAGACAATGTTCCCTTGGCTCCAGTAAAAAGCTTTTTTTTTTCCCCTCCTGCCGCGTATTTGTTACAGATTCCACTCGTTATCGGCGCTGTCGCTGGGTTTACGGTGCTCTCGGTGCTGGTAATGGGATTCGTTTGTTTCCTACGCTCGGATAGATGCTGCGTGGCCAGAAATACGGTGCCTGCACTCCAGCAAGTACATTGGTAAGCACGCGATATTGCGTCTCTGGTGATTTGCACGAATAAACGTCGAAGCAATTTACATGGAAAACCTAGAGAACTCTTTTCAAGGGGACACATCCTCACGGAGCACGTATACGCGCTAATGAATTATTCGACGCATTGTTTCCCTCCTTTCCGTTCCCTTAATTGTTGGTATCGCGGAATCGACGCTAATTTCTTCCTCTTCGTACGATTCTACACGATATATCCTATGCCCGAACGAATCCTATTGCGCGTGAAAGTGAGAAAGCTAGGAATAAAGTAACGATATTGCTATACACGATATACGGTAAAAGTGGATCAGAGAGCGGTGGCTTGTTTCAGTACGAAGGCTTCGAACACAATGATAGAGGATCCCCGTTTAGCAGTGGATACGATGGAAAGAAACAGTCAACAGTACGCGTCCGAGAAACGACCGAATCACGTTTTGAAGCCCGTCCCGTCGCAACAATATCAACAAGAGTGTTATCAACACGATCCGCCTCACCAACAGCAACATTATCAGAGGCATCATCATCATCACCATGGACAACCTCACGGGCCACAATACACGCTTCAGGTCAGATAAGTTAATAAACAGAAAGAAACAAGAAACAAAAATTATTCTCACAGATGATGTCGCTGAGCGATGTCCTGCAAAATGTTGTTTTATTCCCTTCTCCTTTAGTCCCAAGTATCTTTCCCCCATATAATTGCGCGAATGCACGAATATATACGAATATATACGCAACACAAATTCCCTTGACACTGTTTTTCTTTGTGTTTTCGAGCGAATCCTTAATAACAGATTCAACGCAACACGATCCTCCAGGCAACTCATTTTAATTTTCCTAGCACCATCTAGTCAAGTTTTTTCTTTCAATCCTTCTACGTGTGATTTTCCCGGAGCCTTTCGAATTTTTTCCTTAAAATCCCCGCTACTATTTACCGGAAAGAAAAGTACAAAAAATATCTTTGGATTTAGACGAGCATCGCGTTTGGTCCATTACATTCGCGCAAGTATACGCGGTAAAGGTGAAATTTTTTTGGTACCGCGAAAGCCCATTTCTCCGGCTTACAGAGCGGCCTGGTGTCCGCGAAAAACAAGACGTAGAAGCATTAAGTTCATAGCCGTGTTTTCAGTTGCTTTGGTTTTCCGCATTACCGTATAATCCTGTACGATACAGATTACCAAGCATGATTCCTCCCTCTTTCGTCGAAAGTTGAACAAAAATTTCGAGGAAAATTGAAGATCTTCGAAGCGTTTTATCGTTGATTGTAGCAAAAAAAGTTTCATGTTCGAGAGTTTAGCATCCGTTAACGTCTTTTAGATATTTACAAGCGACTTGAAAACTTATAAAAACGATGTACGATTTCTAGCATGAAAAACCCATTTATTTCCTATCTGTTTTATTAAGACAGTTTTATGCTTATTCTACCTCTGTTTATTTTCATCGATCATCATCAATTCTCATCTAATTTTCTTTCTTCTTTTTTCTCGCGTTTATATAAATTCAAAGTTATCTCATGAACGAAAATATCGTGTTAGAGTATCGTACATTCAATATATATTTAGAAAAGTTACAGATACACGTGTCTTTACAATAGTCGATTACGTTATGTTCTCCCATTAAATACCATCCGATCGAAAAATTCACTCGTTAGACCTCTATTGACTATTCATTCACGCCCAGTAAGAACGAAAAAGGAACGATTTCAAAGGATTCATGTACATACTACACTCATGCTCTGCACGATACATAGTGCTTTGAAAAGAACGGAATACAGTTACGAACTATCATCTCATAAACTTGTATATATACATACACGTTGAAAGTATGTCACGTTTATCGTCTCCGATCGTAATACTAGCCACCAAGACAATATAGACTTGCACAAGTATTGACCACTAGCCGCTGTCCCTTCCCCGATCGAGATAGTCATTTGAGTGATTTATGCGGCCAGTAGGGTATATTACGCATGCATTTGGTTGCATCTAGACACCGCGGTGTCCCTCTCCCAATTACCGCAATGTCCTTGTAGGTAATGTCATTAGGTACGTGTACGTAAGTAGCGGTTACAACCATTTCTGCTATAACGCCATCGAATCTCTATTCTTCCGTGTAATTTTAATGGTAAAACGATCGAACGAATCGATTCACGATATATATCCACACAATTTGCTCCATGTAACATCTTGGAAATAATTTTAAATGAAAAAAAAAAAAAAAAAAAATATCGTAGATCACCTGCAAGAAAAAAAGAAGAAAATTTTTAATTCAACTTCTCTCTTGTTTTGAACGATTTCAATATAATCTGATCCATTTTTACAGGACATCGTATGGAAAAGATATTAGCAAGAAGGTAAATTCAACATTAAAATCTTAGATGACTTTATTATTTGATACAGATTGATCGTGCGTTATAAGAGAAACGATTGTACCGTGAATAACAAGATTAAATAAGAAATTTAATTCTTTCAGCTTGCATTCTTATTATTGCTTTCGTTTTATTTTTGCATCCAAACATTTCTGATACAGCCACGTGTTTCCCTTAAGCGTTAACGAAAGAAAACGAAAGACTGATTTTTATTAAAAAACTATATTACTCGTTTCTTAAATATAACGTCGGCTAAATCACTAGCTGATCATGTGCATCGAGATATCGAAGAAGCTTGAAAAATTTATATAGATATGTATTAATATACACATATATATAATTATATTATATACACACGGTTGTGAAGATAATTACTTACGATAAATCGCATTATCGACGAATCTATTATTATTATTATTATTATTATAATCGGACAGTGTGCATCCGCCAGTGTAATTAAAAGCCACAGATAATCGTATGTTCGATTACCGATCTATTCGTTCAAATAAGCGTATCGGTAATTAGCGAGAATCGCCGCTCAATACAAATAGGTTACCATAATGCTAATCATTAATCGAAGTTAACGATTATTCAAGATAGTTCCGCGACTCAATAAACGTTAAGTTTTACATTGTACACACGTAACTGATTCTTCGAAAATCGATAGAGAAAAGCATATGACTATTTACTTAAACCAATCCTTGAACAGATGTAGAACGTGCACGGTATAATTGCTAAATCGTAAAAGATTTAATTTTAATGGCTCGAGGGAATTTTCCCTTGATTTGCGTTTGACAAAGATCATTATCAAGCATGTTACGACATCGCAAATTCCACGTGCATGTTAACATTTGTGTATGCATACCTTTTATATTCATCGAGATGTTCTTCTCTCCCACTCTTTCTGTTTCATTCATTCTTTCTCTCTCTTTCTCTTTCCTCCATTTCATCTCATTTGCACTTCGTCCGATCGCGAATCGTCATTATCATTGCGCAAAATCATTGTAACGATTAATTAGCTTTGCTGCTCGCATCTCGAAACTATCATTGATGCCACTTCGTTCATAACCTGTAACCGAGCAATCTACGTGAGACGATGCTGTATGACATTTTGCGTAGAAACAAATTTCGAGTACTCTCTTTCGTGTATCATGTTATCATTAAAAAATAATCATACAGATGCGTATGCTTGTCCGTTTGTTATCAAACCTAGCAATATCCCTTTCACACTCGTGAAAACGATTGCGAGCATGTTGTGCGGATATACGAATTATCAATACGAAATCTATTCTCTTTGGAACTCGTATGCGGTATGCGACATGTTTGCGTAACAACGAGCACTGTTTGCTTCACATTCCCAATCTCCCGTTTGATACAAGATTTTAAATGAATTCAGGACCGTTTTATGAAACGAGAATGAAGAGTTTTGCCTTGGAAAAGTATAAATATTTAGATTAAACAAGAATTCCAATGTATCATGAAATTTTGATTAGCTAACCACTTTAAATATTTATTTAAATCGTTTATCAGGCCGATATATTTACATTATTTACATCGATATCAATAATATTAATGTACACGCATATATTCATTTTGTATTTGCGAATATTCAAAACTCATTAGATACGTTTATATTATATTGTGATCGAACAAAATGATGCGTTTATAAAAAGTATATTAAAATATATTAAAATATATAGCATTATTGAAAATATAATTTCTATTTATATCGTGCAATTGTTATTTGCCATATTTTGTTTATCAATATGTTATTTTATATTAATAAAATGCATCATTTTGGTAACCGTGTCAATATTGATACGCAATAATGAATGGTCATCAATAAGTATATATGTAACAATGACATAGAAAACAATGAGCCGATCATTATCCGAGATATAAAACGGCCCTGTTTCTTTCTCGTATACGAAAATATTTGCACAAACCACACTTATATATATTATATAGTTTACCATTTCCAAATGTCATGTAATCACCCGTAGCATATGTACATATACCTGTAGAGTTTTATTTGTCCGATGCTTCTGGTTACACGCGTGCCTTGAACGCGACCAGATTCATATTCTCTTAAGATCCTTAAGATGAAAATTGTGCAGGGGGAGCAGCTGTTTCTCAAACCAGATCGTTTAGCAACCCTGAAGCCCCACTGCAAGATCGAGAAGCCGCCGCAGTACACGACGTTCAAGCCGAGTTCGAACTGAAGATTTTACTATTTCTATTTTCTATTGATGTACACATTGATCGCACACATGCGCGCATCCTACAAGAAACTGAAACTAAAAAAAACACCAGAAATGAGAAGAAAATAACGATGAAAATGGTAGAAAAATCGATAAGACGAGACTGAAAAGTGGCATAAAATCAAATCAAAGGAAATTAACGTATAATTTGCTATCTTTTCCACCTCTCTTTCGCTCACCTCTTTGTTACGTTCGTACAACGTATCCGATGCGAAGTGAGATGTTTCATATCGTCGATCGATATTGATACCAACCAACGAATATTTGTTCTGAATTCTTTTTCTCTTCTTTTTTCGTGCGACAAATTTCCTTTTCCTGTACAGATTCGAAGGAAATTATCGCTCGAATAAGAACACTGAGCACTATTCGGCATTTATAATTCGAGACTATTGAAGAACTCGACAATATTGTGAACTTTAATATTAATTAATTTATGTTAATAGATTTCATAGTGAAAAATCATTTTCGCGCAAATAATACTGCCATTATTATAAAATAATACTGCCGTGACAAAGACGATCTTTACGATGTCGGTACCAATCAAAATGAAAACTATATTCGAAGGGTATTTATAATGCTTGCGATAATGTTGTTAATAAAACGGTAATTTTGAATATTTATTGGTTTTTTTTTAATATTAAACGAACTAATTTATGATGATGTTCGTACATTATCGAATGTTCAAAAATTAACGCAACGATTTGAATATATTTCTTTTTTCCACATAATTGTTGCTAATATTATGAAAAAACTTTCAATAAAGGAATTGTGCAAACATCACTTATCTTAATTAATTATAAATATTAGTAATACCTCATTGCATGTTTGTTTATACAATTTGTTATTTTGTTTAAATCATTGAAATGTGAATATAAGCCTTATAATATATTATGAAAAAATGTTATATACTCACATATATTTTAAATATTCGTATTCTATTTAAAAAACGTAAGTATAATTTATCTATTATAACAAAAATAAAATTATTTTGAATAAAATACACTTTAATGATTCAGATAATATATCTTGACGAAATAATTCGTATTTCGTTTATCTTTTTTATACTGAACACAATGAAATTTATATCATTTGAAATAAGCAAACGTTTCAAATGATTATACATAATGACGAAATTATTCGAATATTACATAGAGTAGAAACTTCATGATAAATTTTGAAATAACATAATTTCAATATTTCATCGCAAGAGGGCAGATACAATAATCTAGTGATGTTTTCTCTTCTACGTCTATACTGAATCAGTATATGAATCTCGTAATTCATGATATAAACCTCGTGTTAGCGGTTAGAAGAAATTACGTACTTGAAATATAGGTTAGCGTGTATATTTTAAACATTGATAAGATACCGCAACAATTTCTAAATTCAGTACGCTAATGTAAATTTATATCGTTAAAATTATGGCGGTACGTGTGCAATTCGAAAATAATAATGAAGTTGGAGTTTTCTCCAAGTTGACAAATTCTTATTGCCTCGTAGCAATTGGTGGTTCCGAGAATTTTTACAGGTAAAGATAAGTATAAATCGATACCACTTTATCTATAATCGCATTAATAACAAACTATAGAAGATTATATTGCGCAATAATTTTCTCAAACGATTTGTTAAGTTTATAACATGTGACATGTGTTGACATAAAATATTCATAATTTATGAAATGTAAATTATTGGTTAATTACAGTGTGTTTGAGGCAGAATTAGCCGAAACTATTCCTGTAATACACGCGTCAGTTGCAGGATGTCGTATAATTGGACGATTATGCGTTGGTAAGCAAAATTAAAATTTTAACCTTCAATATTTGAGATTAATTGTGTTTAAATAAAAAAAAAAAATATATATATATATATTTAAACAGGAAATAAAAATGGATTGTTGGTTCCAAATACGACAACGGACACAGAATTACAACACATACGAAATTCATTACCAGATAAGGTTAAAGTACAAAGAGTAGAAGAAAGATTATCTGCCTTGGGTAATGTTATTGCCTGCAATGATTATGTTGCTTTAGTACATCCTGATCTTGATAGAGCAAGTATTACATCAAAAATAAATATTAAGCTTGTCCTATTGCAATATTTATAATTGATATAATTCTACAGGAAACAGAAGAAATTTTAGCAGATACATTGAATGTAGAAGTATTTAGACAAACTGTGGCAAGTAATGTTTTAGTAGGATCATATTCTGTATTATCAAATCAAGGTGGATTAGTTCATCCAAAAACATCCATACAAGATCAAGATGAATTGTCATCTTTGTTACAAGTGCCACTTGCTGTAAGATAATTTTCATATCTAAAAAATAAAAAATTTAAATATTTATTATCAAAGTGAAATATATAGGCAGGTACAGTAAATAGAGGCAGTGATGTTATAGCTGCAGGAATGGTTGTAAATGATTGGGTGTCCTTTTGTGGTATGGATACAACTTCAACAGAACTTTCAGTTATTGAAAGTGTTTTTAAACTTAATGAAGCTGCACCAGCTGCCATTACATCAACTATGCGTGCATCACTTATAGAAAGGTAATGTACATTATATTATAGATTAACATTCAAATATATTGTAATTCTAACTAATATCTTTTTTATTTATTTCAGTATGTCTTAAAGTCAACCTCTCTAAGAGAGTGTAAAAATGATTAACAGTAGGCTATGTATGTACATAAATACAATATTTATGTCAATACAAATGCACAAAAGAATAATAATATTGTGCTTTCAAACTAATTTCATCAAGCACATTTTCTGTATAATTCCAATATAAAATTGTGACAAAATTCTGTAAAATTTATATAAAATATATTAAGTTTTACTATGGACTACTCAAACAATGATTAATTGAGTGTAATATAATTTTCAATTCTCAAAAAAAATAAAAAAATAAAAATAAATAAATAAATTCAATAATAAAATCTTAATCTAATTATATAGAAAGAAATTAATACTTACCTTTATTATATTTAATATCAAAAACAACTTGATACCATGTATTAGAAAATATCTTATCACAAAAATTTTTAATTTTGTTAATATTTTTTTAATGTATGAATTTATAAAATATAACTGCATATAAAACAGAAATATTCTATTGAAATATATTTTAATCAATAATATTCTCTTTGAATACAAACATTTTTTGTGTTAAAAATGTAAATTATTTCGATTCTGACCCCACCTTATTTAGTAAATGAGCTATTGTGAATAACATTGTGCGGATCAGCCTGCTAATTAAATTTATTACAAATAAAAAGGGGCAGCCTGAATTTTAATAATTTTTTTCAACAAGACTAGAGTAATGGTAATTGTTCGGTATGTAACAATTCGGAAGCAGCTGAAGAGTCTGCACACATAACTAATGTAATACCTGCTTGATAAGATGCAGGAATACGAATGTGAGTTACTCCAGTAGATAAATTATTGAGTTGACGTCTCTGGGTCATTGCTTCGCGTATCATATTTACAACTTGACCTAATAAACGATATAAAAATAATATTAAATATTTTTATAGAATAAATTTCGAATTGATTAAATAATATGCATACCAAAAACATTGAGCTTTCGCCACTTTTGATCCATAGCAGCGAGTGGTGTTAAGTCTGTATTAGGATTCCAATGAGCTAAGACATCCGTTCTTCGTATTAGTAAAATACTAGGACTTACAAGTTGATGCCAAACATACTAAAAAATTGATTAAATTTATATGATACTTAAGTAATTAATTTATTTAAATAATTACAAACCTGTTCAGGTAAACATTCTAATGGATTAGTTAAATAAATTCCCGCTTGTCCAACACCAAAAATCATTTGATGATGCCATGCATCTGGAATATCACATCCTTCTCCACAATGTTGTAAATTTAGTGTTGCTATGGGTGCAGCACCTAAAATACGCTGGTATATCTATATTGTTGATTCACACTTTATTGATTACATACCTTTTGATATCCAATAATGTAACCAATGAGACAATGAAACTTTTCTTTCTGGATAAAATGCAAAAAATTTTGTTATAACTGACCCATTTGTACACAAAGCTATGCCGCGGGCCAGATCTCCGTGTGTCGATCCAGCCACTGATCGACTATATAAATATCGTGGTAGTGGTGTACCTGGTTCTCTTTGTCTAGTATTCACACCTTTTACTAATGTTTCTAATGAAAATGGGACATTTAAAGCCAACTACAAAAATCATTTTAAATTAATTGAAATAATCTGAAATTAAACTTAATTTAAATACAGATATTTATATAAATAATAATAAATATACCAAAGCATTTATTGCAGCAGTAGCACCACATGCAGATGTTCCTATTTGAGTTACTTGTTTTACAGTAGCTTCTTGTTCACTCCATAACATAACTTTCTCAATTGGTAAAAGGCCATCTAAACGATCGTTAGATAATTCGTTTTCCTATATATATATATGTATATATATATTAATAAATAAATTATCATAACTATATATAATATATAATAATATATCAAATTATAAGCTATATTAACTAGATTTGAGTCACCACTCTGATTAAATGCAGCTTGTTTATTGAGCATCAATTTCTTTGCCATCATACGATGATAAAGAGTTGAACTGAGATTCACTCTCCTAGAATTTAAATTCGAGTTTTCTGGAATGGAAGCTGATGAAGATTCAACCCATAATTCTGCGTCTGAATCTCTATTGTCACCCGGTGAAATAAGATCGCCGCTTGTATTGTGATATCCATATGATTCTCGTAAAGGACATCTTGTATTACGATACATTTTACTAGTTTCCCATTTTCCTATAAATCAATAATTCAATATAATATTTTAAATGAATAATACATTATTTCAATATAATCCAAAATAACAAAAATGATATACCAATTGCATTACTAGTACTTGGCATCCATGGAGAAGGATAATTTGGTTTTATACTTGATTCAGGATTATATGGATTACTGCTGGAACATTGCTGAATTTCTGCATTATTCACATTTTGTACACTTTGCTTTGAGTTTTGAGATGTAGTTGCAATTCCTTGTTTAGTCACAACTTTACCACTACTTAAATCATTTAATACTGGATCAGGATCTACATTGTCTAATGCTATATTCTGTATATCTTCATTAATAGAGGCCAAATCACTGTCTCCTGTATCCTATATTTTAAAATATTAAAATAATAAATATGTGTGAATATATATTTTATCATCACAATTCAATACCTGCTCACAAGAAGGCCCAGGATCGAAGTCCATTTCTAAAAAATCCATTTCTGGACTTGATCTACCACTGTGGCATTGTTCTTCCTCTTCATGTTCTTCCACTTGTCCTTGATTTATTTCTTCTTTTTGAATCAAATGAACCGCATCATCATTTCCCTTATATGTATAAATACAATAATCTTCCCCATCTGACATGTCACCTTCATTTCCAGAACTTGAATCTCTCCTCTCATTTTGTTCTCTTTGTGTATTCTAAAATCATATGAGTTAATAATAAAATTAAATTTTTTATGTTAATATGTTACAATAAAATAATGAAAGAACTTACTTTTTGCAATCCACTTGGTCCTGCTATTTCCCTATTTCCATTAATATTAGGTCTCAAAAAACAACATGTTCCTTGACTTGTTGAACCTATACTACCTCCTATATTATTTAACAAGCTATTAGTTCTATAGGACCTTGATACCCAGACACTGTCTACTTCAGGACTAGAGTCTGAACTGCATGATACTTTTGATGGACATTTTTCAATTCCAGAAATATAATCTACATTATTTTTCATATCAATATCTTCATTTGGTTTAATTGTTGTTAAATTTGACTGTATTGTGGATGAAACTGATGCTGAATTATTTAAATATAAAGTAGCACTTGATGTAGTACCAGAATTATAAGTTCCTGATATACTATAAGTATGATTCATATGCATATTATTTTGACTTGAAGATAAATTTAAATTCATAGGAGGTTTAGGCAAATTCAAAGCACTTGTGCTCATTACAGTCTTATGCTTCAATTGACTTGTAACATTAGTGTTTACAGTCTGAGATTTAATGTTGTTAGCATTTAAAAATATGGGAGATACACTTGCATTTAATATGTCTTGATTTGTATCTTGGTCCATAGTATTACTAAAACTGGTACATGTAGTATCTTCTGTAGATTTTGTACCATTAGCGAATGCAATTGAAGCTTTTGAAGACAAATGATTCTTGGCACCATTATCATTCAATTTATTACTTAATTTTATTTGATCTCCATTTAGTTTATTTTCAAGTTGTATAATTTTAGTTGACTGTTCAATTGATTTATTGTTATTTTTTTTTAAATTTTCTTCTAATCTTGTACCATTTTTATTTTGACTGTTACTTGCACCTTCTTCAGAATTCATATTATTTTTAAGATGATAGCACCAAATTACCTATTAAAAAAACAAAGTAAAATAATTTCACTATTTTACTTTTAATTATGAATATATTATATTAGTATGTAATTTTTAATTACTTTTTTTATTAATTACAGTCGAAAAAATGTTTTACATACAAGTATCATAACTGTCATATAAAAGTATGTATGATAAAAATGTGTTAGTAGTATATAAGTAGTATTTACCTTCGAATTATTTTTCAACACGATTATACAGAGTTTAACATTAGTTTCTTTCTAAGCAAGTTTAGATTACAAAAAACTAAACGTGTCAGTCTTCGATTAATAAAATTATCAACAATTAAAAAAATTGCTGTCTTGTGAGTATGCTGTTCTGTCAAGTGAAAAGAATGAAAGGCCTCACTGCCTCACTAACATTTTCTCTCATATAAGTTCCGGAAGTCAGCTGATTAGTAGAAACAAATGTAGTTACACACAAGTCTGATATTTTTACACGTTTCTTTTTCAACAAACCTCTTTAATCATTCATAATAGTATATAGTAATTCACATTAAGTTTTATTAACATAAACACAAACGACATTGAGAAAAATTCTCTTAATTCTTTTTCACAATAAGATAATCAAACATTTACAAAATATCATTATACGCGTTACGTTATACATTTATTATTTGTCTGAAAGGAAATACTATCTAGAGTTTCTTTTAAATTAGGAATCATCATAGTATAGTGTACAAATAATGTATTCTTACATTTCAAGGAAAATATCAACCAATCGTAAAGATTTGTATAGCTATTTATGCACTTAGCTATAATAAATCATATATTTATAATATATATAGTATAATCAATGTAATTTATATATAGATATTTAAATACTATGACTAAATTATATAATTAATAATATGTTTCATGAAAAAATTCAATAAAAAATTGCAATGTTATAATTTTCAAACATTAGATATATTTACTGTATATTATCTAGAAATTTAGATAACGTCAAAGGAATGAATATAAAAAATTCAAGATCGTTAGTTTCTAGAATCACATTGTTTTGTTTTGATCAAGAACAAATTCAATCATTTCTTATTTACAATTATTTAGATTTTAAATATTATAAGATTATTTTATAGAAGACTAAAGGAAATAAAATTTTCTTATATACAAAAATTTTGTATTCAGATTTTAAACGAGCTGAATGAATGAATCAGTTATGATTCTATACATAAATAAATAAAATATTATTGAATTTTTGTGTACGTGTGAATCAATTCAATTAATTAAACAATATTCATAATGAATATTGTTCGAATTAATTCGAGAAATGTGATTTTTATTCTTCTGGCGATTTTTTCGACTACTGTCAAACAGGCTCATATGGGTTATGGTAAATTGTATATTAAGTTCGTTTAAATATTTACACAAAATATTTCTAATGATACTTTGATTACAGAAACTGCAATTAAATATGCACAAAGAGAAGCTAATGTAAACTCTACACCAGCATATAGTAGTACAAAGGTAGTAGTATAAAAATTAAATTGTTTTTATAAAATAACAATATTTTTATTCAAAAAAAAATATATTTAAATAACTATAAATTAAATAATTATAATATCAATAGGAAGAAATTTCAAGATTATGTCCAAGTGGTATTACTTGTTCACAATTAAGTGGAGATTGTATAAAATGTAATTTAGATCCTAATTGTGTATATGGAGCTGTATATGTTGCTAATTGTTCTGTTCTAGAACATATTGATTGTGTTGTAAGTTATACAATATTATATATTATTATACATGTCATATATTTTTATATTATTTAATATATTAAATTTCAAGGGTGAGCAATCTTTTCAAAAGAAATATATATGTCGTTACTGTTATCAAACAGAACATTGGGAGCATGAATGCCATCAAAAAAATTCTTGTAGTTCTGTTGCTTCTCCACGACAATATTATAGAACAAATTGTACAGTAAATGGTGATATATTATGTCTAGGAAGACGTAAATTTATGAAAAATTTATTATGCAATTGGACTGTGGGATATCGTTGGTCTACTGCTTTAATTTTAAGCATCACATTAGGAGGCTTTGGAGCTGATCGGTATGTTATATATTTGGTGAATTGAATGTTGAATAAAAATGATTCATATTTTAAATATGTATTACAGATTCTATTTGGGTCATTGGCAAGAAGGAATTGGTAAATTATTTAGTTTTGGAGGACTTGGAGTATGGACATTAATTGATGTAATGCTTATTTCTATGAGATATTTAGGTCCAGCAGATGGATCATTATATATTTAAATAGATTTAAAAACAATCATATTGTATATAAAAAAAGGAGAAAAAATTTATAATTTCAATATTAGTTTTATATATATGTATATTAGTTATTCAGTCAAATAGTAATATTTAAATAAAATATGAGAATTTTATTTATCACTTTTCAAAGAACTGAATTGTAATGTGATATGTACATACATAAATCATTAAATAGAGACTTTCATAATCATAAAATGTTTATTATTATATAATGTTTAATTTTATTATCTAATTATCCTTTTTAAATCATTAATATTTCATCAAATTATAAATAATATTTCAATTACTCATATTTAATTAATTTAATTTACATAATAAATTTTATTGTATCTTCTATTGTTTAATAATTATATAATTTTATATATATAATAATATATATTTTTAATTTTATTTATTTTTGTAATATTAAAGATAAGATTTTATTTACTCAACTCCCCTCTAGCGGAATTATTCATAAATATTGTACGACGTTACTCAGTTAGTGTGTCTTATAAAACTGTGAAAATAAATAGAGTTTTGATTAAATTCGATTGTGTGAATGACAAAAGGACAAATATTTAACAATGTATGTATAATAAAGAAACTATTTTATTTTTTATATATCATTATAAATTTTGTATTTCATAAATTCACTATATAACAATATATTTATCGAATGTTTTGTGTTAACCTTAAAATAAAATGTCTAATTACAGGAAGGACAAAAGTTTATCAAAACTCGAAAGCATGGCAGATGTACGAGATATATTAGACATCGAGGTACCTACTACTAGCGAGCTTACAAAAGAATCAATTATAGGCAGTGATAAAAAAAATCGTAAAAAATATGAATATAAAGTGCCAAAGAGACCAGAAGGCATGCATCGTGAAGTCTTTGCATTGCTCTGTAAGGATAATAATGATGTACCACCGTTATTTCCAACGGATACTGCAAAAGGATACAAACAAGTTAGAGCTAAACTTGGTATGAAAAAAGTTAGACCATGGAAATGGACACCATTCACTAATCCGGCTAGAACAGATGGTGCTGTTTTTCACCATTGGAGACGAGTTGCAGATGCTGGAAAAGAATATCCTTTTGCTAAGTTTAATAAAAAGGTTCCTATTCCAACATATACCAATGCAGAATATGTTCAGCATTTGGTTACAAATGGTTGGACAAGAGCAGAAACCGATCATTTGTTTGATTTGTGTAGGAGGTTCGATCTAAGGTTTATCATAATCAAAGATAGATGGGATTGCACAAAATTTCCTGCAAGATCTGTAGAAGATTTAAAAGAAAGGTAGATAATTATTTCAAACTTTTCATTTTCTATTTTTTGTATATTTGTATATTTTATTGTTTAGATATTATCAAGTATGTGCAGCTTTGACAAAAGCAAAATCTCACACTGATAAAGTTTATATATTTGATGCTGAACACGAAAAACGTAGGAAAGAGCAGTTAAAAAAATTATTTGAAAGAACACCAGAACAGGTAGAAGAAGAGCAAATGTTATTAACTGAATTAAGAAAAATTGAACAAAGAAAGAAGGAGAGAGATAGAAAAACTCAAGATTTGCAAAAATTAATAACAGCTGCTGATCATCAAGCTGATCCAAGAAAGAATGAAAGAAAACCAGCAAAGAAGACTGGAGCTTCTGCTCGAAATAGACCAAACAAAGCAGATACCTCTCATGTAATAATCATAATTATATTTTTGTATTATATTAGAGATATTGAATTATATATATTGAATTATATAATTTTGCAAAAATGTATTAATATAAATTAAAATTTTTAGACAGTGGAATCAGCTGGAATTAAATTTCCAGATTTTAAAAATAGCGGTGTTTCTCTTCGTTCTCAACGAATTAAGTTGCCGAGTAGTTTAGGTCAAAAAAAAATGAAGGGTATTGAACAAATGCTCAACGAACTACGAATAGGTATAATCGTCAAATATGCAATTTATTTTTTATTTCATTTTTCTTGATTTGATTTTATATATACGATTTTCTTAAAGAATTAAATCCACCACCTACTGAGCAAATATGTCAACAATTTAATGAATTAAGAAGTGATATCGTTTTGCACTACGAACTACGAAGTGCATTATCGACATGCGATTATGAATTGCAATCATTGAGGCATCAATATGAAGCTTTAGCACCTGGAAAGGTACATTATTTAAATAATAAATTTCAATTTTTCTGAGAAATAATATAAATTTAATCAAATTTTCAGACATTAACGATACCACCTGCCTTGTTACCAAAAACAGAACCTGAAGTTAAAGCAGACATAATAGATGTGGTGGGTTCACCCAGTATGCCATCTATTACCCATTAATTTTTTTAAACAAATTGCCAAAAATTGTAAATAATAATTTCTTATATCGAAATGCGATATTTGGATTACGGAGTTCGTTTATTTCATTCTCCTGTATAATTTTTTTATTTTTTATTAGATAACAATTAAAAATAATTTAACAAAATGTTGAAATCATTGAATAGAAATTTTTCTTCCTTTCCCATAATTTCGTCATTATAAGGTGTACAGATAACAAACAATAATAAAATAACTGGAACGAGACGTTAATTACTTATATATCTGTGTATTTTATATTGTCGACAAAAAGTAACAATGTACGGTCAAACCGTATAATTTATCTACAACAATCTACAATAGATTACAATATGTTGTTTTGTTTTTGTTGAGGGTTAGAGGGAGGCAGGAATATTAGAATAACGGGAATTGGATTTTTTTTCGGAAGGAACGGGAAATCAGGTTAAAAGTGTGGAGGAAAGATAGTCGATGCAGGCCTTTCTTCGTTCGTGCTCCGCGCGCGCGCGCGCGCGTTAATCGCGATACAGTTGACTGTTTTAATTCTATATTAAATTACTCGATAGCTCTAGCCGTACTTGGTACGGAATAATGCATATATATCTGGTTCTTAATGATCGATAACCCACCGCCCGACTTTTCCATCTACGCCGTGCCGTGAGGACTCTCTCGGTCAAAGTTAAGTATAAGGAAAAATTGGGCACAACGTTGGCTGGCATCGTTGACCCGCATATCCGATCCATTGTTCGCGAATCGTGCATCCTCTCGTCTCTCTTTCTCTCTTTTTTCTCTTTTTCAATTCATGAGCTGACGCTTCGATCGCGGTCATCCTGATAACAAGATGTCTTTTATTTTTTAAGCAATGTAATACATATTATATTGTAGAATATTATTTATTCTTTTTTCAATTTAAACTAATACTCAAGCGGGTTGATCGAAATTGCGTCCTCAATTTAATTTTTTCCAATATTCTTGATTTATTTTTGGAAAATAATTTTTTTTCAACAATTCTGACTCGACCAATTGGAAAGCGAAATAAAAGAATATATATGTTCATCAATTTTTCATCGTCCAATTTGTACGTGAAAAACAAGGTGAAATGAATTTTAAAAAGATCAAAATACGAAGTGTTAAATTTTGTTCAATTGACAAGGAAAATGACATAATCGTAGCGATGGAACTTTACCAATGGAAAGCAACTTTAAAGCTTTCAAATTTCAAATTCTAAAGATAAATGCATTTTTGCGTGATAGCATTTCTCTGGAGAAATGCATACTCTTATAGGTTGGTGCCTCAAACGAATATTATAATAGAATATCGAACATTTTGAAGATCGTCCCAACATAAAATGAAACAACAATATTTTAATTCCTTGTAATTCTTTTTCAAGAAAAAAATCTTTAATTCTTAAGTGAGACAAATAGAAGCAAGGGATGATAAACGATTGAACGCGTCAACCTATTTTTTATCGCATTTTCAATAATATTTTTGTAATATTTCGACTGGTTTATTAATCGACTCGCACATTTTTTCATGACGAGACAAGCACGATCTTTGGTTCTGGCACAGCAAACGGGTTGGGTGGAAAGAGAGAAAAAAGTTGAGCCACGAATAAAGGAACACCGCGGCTGGCAAAACACGTGTAAAACGCGTAATACGTGTCTATATGTATATACACACTGCATATACATGTATACATATATACACATATCTGTAGCAATAATAGTAATAATTATAATAATCGTAGCGATAATAATAATAACAATAATAATGAATACGAACAACATTGTAATGTACAGAATGTATGTGTACAACGAAAGTTCCCTTCGCCTTTTCTTTCAAGTCGTCTTTCTTTGTTTTGTTTCCACTTTTCTTTAATGTATTTTTTCTTTCTGTGCTTGATATTTTATTTTATTTTATTTTATTATTCTTTTCTATTTTATACAACGCGAAACCGTCCACAGGGTTATTGATTCGACAACGTTCGAGCGATCCTGCAACTGACCGGAGAAGAGATTTGTCTCGTTATTATTTTATTATTATTATTATTTTTTTTTTTTTTTGAATTACTTTTGCTGCTTCTTTTTTTTTTTTTTTATAACATGTAACATGAGAAATCGTATCTTATTCATTAAAGACATTCCCTACACAACACGGCTACGATAATGCGTCATGGATATGTGCGCAAGTGCGTGTGAAATAGAATGGAGGGAGATACAGAGAGATAGAAAGAGAGAAAAAGAGCGATAGGATGAAATGGTCAGAGAGGTTAAGGGAAGGATGGATGGATGGATGCATGGATGGGTGGATGAATGGATGGATGGATGCATGGATGGGTGGATGGATGGGAATGAAAGGGGACAGAGAGAAGGGATGGATGGATGGATGGATGTCAGAATTGAGAAAGAAGAGAGAGGCTGCAGAATAGTTGATCGAGTAGGAAGTAAGAATCGGGTGGATTTGGGGTTGTCGAGTGTCCGCACGTACGCGCGCGTACGCACGTGCGCACATAGGCACACGTTCTTTAAAGTTTGTATGTATAGATTTCTGTATATAATATTAATCATTGATTTTTTTTCTGTTGGTTGTTGTTGCTTTTAAATAACTAGCTTCCTCGTATGTATGTATATATATATATACACACACATAGATATATGTACAATACATATATATGTGAATATATATAGTTGTATTATGTAAGAATAACATGTACGCTTGTCAATTGCATCAAATTTTCTTCTCTCTCTCTCTCTCTCTCTCTCTCTCTCTCTCTCTCTCTCTCTCTCTCTCGCTCATGTTTTCTCACATGCGTTTTTTCTCTCTCTCTCTTTTTCTCCCTCTCTCACTTTCGTTACACTCTCGCATTTGTTCTTTCATACATTCGCTTCGGCTTGCCTATAATTTTCTACCTGTATTGTATATAACTACAACGCTATGGTAGACAACAACAAGTAATATTTATCCTAAACTTGTTTCACCTGTTTTTCTCTACATCGTATTCGTATATGCCGTAAAAATGTTGTATATAATGATATTAATATATTGTTTACATATTTTATTTTATTGCACGCGATATCGGTCGCGATGGAACTGCTATGTCGAACGAACGTCAAACGTCCGATTGATCTTCGATATTCGATCACTAATTTTGAACGAGCATGCAACGAACGACACAGTTTTTTTAAAATTAAAATTCAACAAATAATAACATGTAGGTGGTTGATCTTTTTCCAATTCTTCAAAATTTTTACAACAGGTTTTCATATTTCCGTAAAAATAATTCATGAAATATCTTCTTACGAGACAAAAGAAAAGAGGACGATATAATCGATTTGTGTGTTCAATTGTCAATCCTGGACGCTCGTTCGCCAACAATTTGATTCCAACGCGACATTTATACTTTAACATCATCCGGTTATATTTTTATTTATGAATTCTTTCTTTTTTTTTTCTTTTTTTTTCTTTTTTTTTTTTGCGAGATTTCATTGTACTCATTTTTTTCTTTTTTTCTTTTTTTATCTTGCATTTAATCCTCGTTAACGTTCAACTCGCACGCGATCAGCGATTTCTCTAGATATAAGCCGAAAATCATCCTGCGTGAGGTGTAAATAACATGGTCGTTGGTGCAGCATTTGTCTTGTCTCCGTTGAAAATACGCTTGTACAGGCGTCCGTACGAAATTACACCATGACTGAGACAAACGAAAAGCGTGGTCGTCTATCGAGAAGATCGATTTGCCGTTTACATATTTGACAGGTATCACAAAAATCGTCAAATCGCTTATCGAGACCTCGTTGTTTCTCGATCAAATTGTATATGCACACTGCAATCCGTAGTAAAATTCATAATATTTATATTTATACATATGTATATATATATATATATTTTTTTTTGTCTGTTGTATACTCGAGTGTATGTGTGGGAGTGTGTAATATATATGTATATGTATGTATATACGTACTAGGCTGATTTCGTCTAATCGCATATATCTTAAATATCCGTGAGAAACAGAATCGACCCTTGTACGTTCCAATTTAACCCTAATACTGTCGTCGTTCTCCAACTCCACGCTTTTCTTTTAAAACAAAATTTCCTTCTTCTCTCTAATAATAGATAAACAACAATATCGACATACAACAATAATTTTTTCTTGAACAATAATTTAAAAATAATTTAACTTTGAAATAATTTGATAGATAATCTAGTGGGAGTTTCATAAAAATACTCTGTTCACCGTGCAACGTGTAACAAAGAAGTAATGAGATTGTTGATCGCCGGCCCTTGAGATCTTTGGGGCAAAGGATCGCGATACGTTTCACGATTATTCAATTAACTCCCGTTGTAACGAGAAAGTGATCACCATTTTACATCACTTTGAAATGTAAAAGCTGTATCCAAAAGGATTGGAGCGCGGAAATATATATATATATATATATATATATATATATATATCACGCGCGTGGAACGAATATTCGAGGGCAGAGAAAGGGTTAATAGAAGAGCGACAATGTCATATATTCGTACGCACGAGCGAAAGAAAGCGTTACCGTAATAAATTCATTCTATTCCTTGGACTCTCTCATCCGTATACGTATACAACGTTAGACCTTTACATATTTATATGCGCCTGTATATGTAGATAATGTATGTATAATAGTATAATTATTTATATTTTATCCATTCTTTTTTTTTTTTTTGTTTATCTAAGTTTCTGCGGTAACCTAGGTTCATTCGTCTTCTCGTTTATCTCGTAAAATCCGGATTTTTCAATTACGTCGTATCCAATACATCTACTACTGCGGCGATGGACGGGGGTAAAACCCTATGTCATGCGACGAATTTAACAATGACAATCATAAAATATAATGTATATGTATGTATATATGTACATGTATATATATACATATATATATATACATACGCGAAAAAGAACTGGAACAAAGAGATGACACGTATATATACACATATGTATGTATATATATATATATATATATACATATCTGTACACGCGTGCGCGCACGTTGCAAGAGAAACACCTGTCTGTTGCATGCAACTAATCACAAAAGACGTGATATACACATCGAAGATCGATAATTGTTTGCCATCTTTCACGCGTGCAACCTTCGCACGCGCACACACACGTCTCTTATAGTATACATAGT